ACGCCTTTAATCCCAGCACTCGGGAGGCAGAGCCAGGCGGATCTCTGTGAGTTCGAGGCCAGCCTGGGCTACCAAGTGAGCTCCAGGAAAGGCGCAACACTACACAGAGAAACCCTGTCTTGAAAAACCAAAAAAAAAAAAAGAGTGTATATTCTGAGCAATGCTTCCTAATGATCACCAGGCATTAGATACCAGGACTTAAATAGATACGTAGATTTAAAAGCATCTATAGACAGGTGCTAACTTCTAATTTTCATTACTATCATAGTGTGTGTGCCATGCTTAGTGTGGAGGTCAGAGGGCAAGTCTGTGGAGTTGGGTCTCTCCTTCCACCTTGGGTGGGTTCAGGAGATTTAATTCAGGTCTCAGGCTTGCTAGGCTATCTCCTGGACCAAATACTTCATTTTTAAGTTAGTTTTCTGTAAATAGTTGCTCTTTAGTTCTGTCTTGTGTCCTACTTTAAGAATGATGTAACTACTGTCTGCAGACATTCTGCAGAAGCACAGCCTCTAGCTCGGACCCCATTCGTGGTTTTGGAGATGCCAGAACACCACCAACAAGAAAACCAGACTCCAGGCAGGCCTAAGAGCCATTTCTTCTCCACCTCTTAGGTGCCTAAACCTGGACGTAAAGGGCTTTATTGCACTGATTCCGTGACGTCTGTCACTTATTCCCACCTCAACACAGAGTGAGATCAAACCACTGGGACAGATCTCATCCCAGGGATGTGAGATAAGATCAAACCACTACACCAATCAACAGTACCTTGAGAGAACATTCTTCAGAGATGTGTAAGGTGTCAGAGTCAGAATCAAGTCACACTGGCTATGAGGCTGCCTGTTTGCAACCCCAGCCCTTGGGAAGCTGGACTAGGGAGGCTGACAAATGGGGGTCAGTCTGGGCCTCACGGGGCCCAAACACAAACCCAAGTGTGAATGGAGTCACTTGTGACAGACTTTCCAAAAGGAAAGGCAAGAAGTTAGAGAGGAATTGTTCTTACGCATGGTTACCTGACACTGTTTCCCAACGCTGGCTCATACTTTTAGTGTCAGGGAAAGGCACAGTTCAGAAGTTCTCACTCCAAGTCACTGCTGCTCCTGCTACATATGGTGTGCTCTGACATACATCTTTACAGGCTAGAGAATTCTCTTACAAGTCAGAAGCCATTCTGACAATCAACCAGGTGCATGGTGTCAAGATGCCATCTTTCATGTGATACAGATCTCAGAGTCACCACTAGCAGTGAAGAATGACTGGGGACAGATGGGGACACTTTTGTATTCTGTATTATGAAGACACACTTGGACTCCGTACTGTAGAAAGGAACCAAAATGTACATACTATTAACTTAGCACAGGCACACTCTCTTTTGTTTGGAGTTAACTTCCCAGCCCAGCCCAGATACCTCTGAAGGAGTTTAAGGTTAATATCAGTAGAAACTAACTACACCCCGAGTTTCAAGAAGTGCCTGAGTCCAAACATCCCAGATGATAAAAGAGTTCAAAAGATAACAAAACAAACACAGATATCACCTCTCAGAAATGTGGCTAACTACCTGACCAGGGAGGCAAAACGGAGCTCCAGGATGATGATTGGCTGTCTTTGCCTCTAGCCCTATCTCCTTCTCTCTATAATCGGCTGGCTAGAAATGAGATGGAATCCATGTCTCTAGAAAAATTAATCTGCTCTCTTCTCAGACTGCTGACTCTCTGGATAAATTGTAAATTTAAGATTCAATCCTCTTCTCTATTTATTGGGTTCTCTGGCAGGTAGCACGGACCAACATCCGGTTTCACTACCTTGGTGGCCATCCTTCCCCAAGAATAGTGGTCTTGCAGAACTGCCTGAGGCAGATGGCTTCAGGCAACTTCACCCCAGCATCATTTCAGAGAAGCCTCACTACCCTCCGGTTTGCCCAAAAGATTTGCCCCTTTCCTCTGTCACAGCTGAGAGAGTCCACTCTGTCACTAGACCTCCAAGCACGAGAGGATCTCCTTCAATGTAAGACTTCACCACACTGCACCCCCACTTTCTCCCAAGAGCACACTCAAGAAACTGAGTCTCAAAAGCTCTGAAAAACTGTGACTCTCGTCCTGGTGGATATTTTTCTTTCCTCAGGAAGAATCTGAGGACGTTAAACACAGGCTAAGAACAAAGCCCACACTCAACACCATACCTCAACTTCTAGACCCGACCTGTGGGTCCTTTGCACTTCCAACACAGGGGCGGAATAGAACCAGTGCTCCTGGGCGTCCTCAAGCCGCTGCAAGTAGTAGGAAGAGTCAGCAGAACTTCACACAGACTAGACTGGACTATGCCCACCAGGATCCGGAAACAGGGTGCCTCGGAACCTGTCTACCCGATCAACGATCCGGAACTTCCGGAAGTGGAGAGCGTTGTTTCCGAGGGGACGATCTTCTGAGACGGACACGAGACTGATGGTGAGTTCCGCCGGCGCGAACGGCAGCTCTTTCCGCGGGGTCACAGTGTCGCGGGCGATGGCGAGCGTCTCCCGTCGCCAGCGTTTGTCGCCAGCCCTCCCAGGCCGCGGGTGGAGAGCCACGTAGCCTCCGCAGCGCAGCTCGGGCCGGAAGGCCGCTCGGTTGCGCGCGCCGCGGCGCCCCCTGCAGGCGATGCCCGGGGCTGCTGACGGAGGAACCGCGTGCGGACCGCACAGCCACAGCGGGGCCCGGCGCTGGGAGGAGGCGCGGCCGAGTCGCCCCGGCCCGGCCCGGGCCAGCGGCCTCGGCGGGAAGGACCGAGGCAGGAAGCCCCGAGCACAGGGACGCCACGTTGGAAGCCTGGCCACTGGAAGCCGAGGGCGAGCCATCGGGGCGGGAGAGGAGTCAGGCAGGGTCCAGACGCTACGTGCGGGACCCCGGGACATAAAGTTAGGTTCTTAGCCTCAGCTCCGACTTGCTCCTGAAGGACTCTGTGACCATCGGGATAGGTTAGAATTGCATTAGTGGTGGGCAGGGCCTCGATGAGGATGCGCTTGGGGTGCTTTGATGAGGGGTGAGTCAGAATTAGAATTGGAGGTAGAGTCAGGACATGGGCGCTGGCTGTGTTGTAACAGTGAGAGGCATCGGCCTTAGACCACCTTCTGTTGCTAGTACCGCAACTCCTCAGGGGGTGAGGTGTTTTGTTGTTCATTTTGTTTTTCGAGGCAGAGTTTTTGTGTGTAACCCCAGCTATCCTGGAACTCACTTTGTAGACCAGGCAGCCCTAAAACTCAGAGATCTGCCCGCCTCCCTGTCAGGGAGCAGGTTAGAAGACTAGGAAACCTTGCATTCATGACAATCGCTCGGACGATATAAACCATTATTTTGATAATCATATTCCTGGATTAAAGATTTTTAGTGCAAAGTCCTAATTGCTCCAGAGATAAACTATTAACTTTATAATCACGAGTGTATTAATGATTTTTTTGTTTTTAGTACAAAGTCCTAAACACCTTCTGAAGTCCCCTTCTGACCCCAATTTTTAATCTCTCACATTGAGAACTAAATTTCAACATGAATTTTACAGGCTTCAAACCAGGTCGATATTAAGTGATGATCCCAAAGTTTCTCTTAAGTGAATCTTATACCAAACAAGAACAGACTACACTGAGGCTTTCTAAGAGTTCTTTTCCCTTACTGTTAAAAGTCAGAGCAGGGGTTTGGTTCCCACTGCACACATTGCATTTCACAAAAGTCTGTAACTCCAGTTGCATTGAATTCAGTACCTTCTGGCTGCCACAGGTACCAGGCAAGAATGTAGTACACAGACATAACACTCAGGCAAGCACTCAACTAAAAATATTTTTTGAAACAGACACTTAAAAAAACAGTGAACATCATTCTCTGATTATAAGTACTTACGTTTTGTTGGATGACTGTGGAAAGTTCAGAACATGCACAACAAAATATTTTAAGAGTACAATAAAAAAAAAAATCACCTAATCTCAGTACTCAAGATGTCTGTATTTTGTTGTCTCCTGCATTTTTTTTATCTGTTCATGTTTTTACATGACAGAGCATACTGATCATACCATACTATATCCTGTCTCAATTAGATGCTAACATGAAAAAAGACTGTGTCAGGACATTATTTACAAAACTCTTGTTCTGTAACAGAGACCCTCAGACATAATTCTAAAAAAACAGAGATAACTTCTATTATGTTTAAGTTTTGTGGGTTTTTTATTTTAATATATTATTTTATGTGTATGGATGTTTTGCTTGTGTGTGTGTGTGTGTGTGTGTGTGTGTGTACCGCAAGCGTGTCTGGTACCAGTGGAGGTCAGAAGAGGGCATTGAATACCCTGGGACTGGAATTACAGATGGTTATGAACCGCTATTAGAGTGTTGGGAGTCAAACCCTCCGCAAGAGCAGCAAGTGTTCTTAATGGCTGAACCAGCTCTCTAGCCCTGTGTTTTCTGAGGCAGGATCTCATGTAACTCAGGCTAGCCTGGAACTGGAGCTTTGTAGTTGAGGATGACTTTGATATTTTTTCAGATATGAAAATGTAACTTTGTACACATTTAATAGGACAAACCAGGATGGGCATAAACAAAGAAGAAACTCGGGAGAAAGAGTCAATGCCATTTTGTTGGCAGGGAGGAAAGAGTCAGAAACTGGAACAAACTAAGATGCTGAGCAAAACATTCCAGAGCCGCCCCCAGAGTAGCCAGGGAACATAATGTTAGCATTCAGGTGCCAGAGTTAAGTATTACCCACTTAATCTGCACATGTACTAAAGGGTCCCAAATTCTGTTTAGTATAAGAAGTTTTGCATTAACTCTCTAGCAATCATTGGCTTTTCAGAAAGTGATGGGGCAATTTTCAGAGGTGGTTTCCATTATGCAAGGACTATTTTCATCTCAAGTACAGTTAACCAGGGATGCTGTCCTCAGTACCATTAAGCTGCTAGGCACGTGTGCCTTTCAGTGTGATACCGAACTGACGTTACAGGTTTTGTTGTCTTGGTTGTGGGCCCAGCCTTTGCTGACTGAGCCATCTCTCCAGCCCACATTTCAGGTTTTTAAATGGCAGCAGTAATTATATTTTGGGTTTTATTCTAGATGTTCACTATAGTTGTTTTTTTTTTTTTTTTTTTTTTTTTGAGACAGGGTCTCACTGTGTTTCTCTGGCTGTCCTGGAACTCACTGTAGACCAGGCTGGCCTTAAACCCACAGAGATCCAACTACCTCCACCTCCTGGAATTAAAGACATGTGCTAACATGCCTGGCCGATGCTCCACCATAGTTAAGACAACAGTTGATACACATAAGTGAAGATAGTTGGATTTTAGAGATAATCATGGTAATTCTTAAAATAATGCTTATACAAGTTGTACTAGTATTGATTAATTGATATTTTACACATACCAAGAAAACTAAAACAAACAAAACCCCAACTATCAAAGGCAGTCTACCCTAAGTAGACCATGATACTGTATTAAAAATGAATGTGAAAGTACTACGAAGAACACCGTGGTTTACCTGGGCCAGGGGATGACTATTCCATACTCAGTCAACCTTGCCAGTCATCCTTATCAGGATGAGAAACTAGTCTAGAAAAGTCAGTAAATCTTTTGATAGTTTCACATCTGAAAGCCAGGATAAGACTACATCTTGGAACCTGAAGAGGATGAAAAGGCCTTCCTTCAGCCATGCTCCGTGGCTCTGGAGGAGGTTCATGTGCACAGAATTCAGCTGTGTTTACCTGTGCATGACATCTGAGCCTCAGGAATAGGTCTTCATAATGCTTAGTAATTGGCACAAAGATAAAAGCAGGCGCGAGTGTAATGGTAACTGTAGTTCCAGGCGTTGGCAGTTGTCTGCCAGCCCTTCAGTCCAATGGTGTCTGTTCATTGATTCCACAGAGCTTATGTTGAATGAGGAAGACTGTTTCTGTCAACAGGACTGTTTTTCACTGTGAATGATTTTTTACAGTTTTAAAGATAAAGCAAACATGTTCACTACTATTCTTAGGCACAATGATTATCTGTTTGAAGGGTATGTCTCAAATAGTCATCTTATTAATCTTCTCTCCAAAGCCTTTTTTGAGCACCTTATGTACCTGATCAAAGCTCCAGCCCAAGGAGTTGCCACCATTTATCTGGCCACTCCTTTTCCAAACCCACACCGACCAGTGAAGAGTTAGCCTGACTAGCCGGACAGATAGACCATCATCGTGTGATTTCCGCCTGAGCCCAGTGTTTCTTTACTGACCCTGACACAAAATGACTTCAGGGATCCCTCACTTAGTTCCCACTCTACAGATTCCATCATCATCATCATCTTACACAGATGTCACCGCAGCGTTCACATTGGAGGTCTTATCTCCCACGGCCTCTTGACTAGAGCTCCAGGGACCAAGGTCAGAATTACATATATTTCTTCTTTACATAAACTCAGTCTCGTGTGTTTGGAAGCAGTCTGGATATGGTTTAAGATAAACGTTTCCTTTCTGAGTGATGGAGCAGAAGCCTCTGTCGAAGTGGCTAGGTGGTGGAGACAGCAGTTTGGGCTTGGTTTGTTTACCTACAGATATTCAAGAGAAGGTTAAAAACACATTTTTCTTTTCAGGTATTTTTTCTAGACTGTAAAGACCCATGCACCCCACCTCCTCCAGCCTCGAACTTCTGATCCTCCTCTTCTGACCGCCTCGGGACTGGGTCATAGATAGATGAGCACCGTCACGCTGGTTTCATACGGCGCTTGGGATTCACCCAAGCTTCTGTGCATGCTAGTCTAGCACTCTGCCAACTAAACCCTTCCTCAGCCCTTCTCTCCCGTATCTTTTCTTTATAAGCAGCTTCTAATTATTTTAAGATTTTTATTTTTATTTTCAATTTCTGTATATACGTGTGTCTACATATGCATGTGCACATTTGTGGGTGCCCTGGGAGCTGGAGTTAAAAGTGGTTGTGAGCCACCTGATATCGTTGTTGAGAACCAAACTCGGATGCTCAGCACCAACAGCAGGTGCCCATTAACTGCTCAGCCCTCTCTCCAGCCCCATGAGGAACTTTAACAGAAATCTCCACAGTTAGGCAGAGCATGGTGGAACAAGCTGGTGACCCCATGGCTGGTGTCAGGGAAGCAGTAGGATTGGGAGTCCCAGGCCAGCCTGGCTCAGAAAAACGAGAATAACAGAGATTAAAATGATCCATTTAGCCACATTTTGTTTGTTTTTCCTGTGGTTTTGCTTCATGTTATTCCTGCTTTGGCAGATCAACACTGCGGCACTGATTTTGTGTTGTGTGAAGGCTGGGGCTGTGGTGTTGAAAAGTGAACACGGCCTTGTGCTTGTTTGGTGAGCGCTTGATCACTAAGCCATTTCCCTGCCAAAATGGCAGCTTCCCCGCCCCAACCCGCCAGGGCTAGAACCCAGGGCCTTGCGCTTGCTAGGCGAGCGCTCTACCACTGAGCTAAATCCCCAACCCCAACATGGCAGCTTTTGATGGCTGTTGAGTTATTCCAAACCTTGCCACTGGCTGCGTAAGTTGTTCTCAGCCTTTCAAGGTCATAAAAGGACATCTTATTTTATCGTCCTCAGACTTCCAGTTAGTTCCTTGAGAAAGAAAACTAGAAATGGATCCTACAGATAGAAAGGATGACTAGAGCCTAGCAGATTGGCCCACCAAAGACTCCATAAGACTCTAGTGCTGGAGCAGGAGCCCAGGAGTAGAGTGTGTGCTTAGTCTTTGCAGGGCCCTAACTCCAATCTCCGTTAAAAAGAGGATGGTGGAAATGGTTTTTAGAATCTAGTTTTTGTAACTACAGCATGTCTGTCATACCAGGACATCATGCACAGGAGGTGAGCCCTCACCCTGAGTACACCCTGTACTTTTACATCTCCTGTTCACCTGAGATACTAGGCGTGAGCCACCACACCTGGTGAGAAGTAGTTAACAGTCTTACGCTTTATGTCAATTCCATGTTGGAAAATAAATCCTTGAGTAAAGTATGTTACTTGAGAATTATAAATTATTTTCTTAATATTGTGGCCAGATTTTGTTAAAGTATAAAGTAGATTAGGAATTTAGGAAGGATACAGTAAATTAAGGTCCTGCCAATGCTGTAGGTAACCAGAGACCCATCATTTTCTGGCATCCTGCCCTTGGGTGTCTGCTGGGGCAGTAGTCTCTTGACCATGCACAGAAGCTGCCCATCTTGCCAAACAGGGCACCATCCATTTCCTTGGGCTTTTTCCCAGGAGCAGGAGAACTAGAAACAGCTTAGCACAGTTAGGAACACACCTTATGAAAATGCCAAAGATGCTTTGGAAATGGACTTGTCTACTTTAGCAGTTCTGTAGTTGATGAAATTAATTTGTTAGCTCTAACCATCAGCTTGACAATAGCCTTCAGGGTCACCTGAGAGAGGAGTCTCAATTGAGGGATTGTGCAGGTCATATTGGTCTATTGACCTTTCTCTGATGGACTGCCTTGACTCTTAATTGTTGTGATGTTCTTAGAAGGGCCTAACCCACTGAGGGCAACCCCTGGGCAGATGGTTCTGGACTGTATTAAAAAAGCTAATTAGCCAGAAGCCAGTGACTGAGTCAGCAAGCAGTGTTCCTCTGTGGTTTCTGCCTTTGAGTTCCTGGAATTGTAAGCCAAATAATTCCTCTCCTCCCCTAAGTTGCTTCTGATCAGAATGTTTCATCACAGCAACAGAAATGAAGCTGGAACAGAAACAGGGAAGTGGAATGCAAGGCTTTTGTTCAATTGGTTACAGTTGAATGTATTTTCACAGGCAATTCTAGGGCCTGGGGAGGAGGAGCAGGAGGATGGAGGTACAGAGCAAGCCTAGGACAGCAAGGCTGTCAGATGAGAGAGACAGAGGAGAAGCCGGATGGGGAAGATGATGCAATCTTTTACATATCAAAACCTGTTGGTCTTTTGTTTTTGTCCAGTAGAGTCCTCCTTGTCTATGACATGCAGTTATCACAGCAGTTGGACCTGTTTCCTGAATGCAGAGTGACCCTTCTGTTATTTAAAGATGTAAAAAATGCAGGAGACCTGAGAAAAAAGGCCATGGAAGGATCTATCAATGGGTCGTTGATAAACCCTAGTGTGGTAAGTACAAAATATGAGAATGAATTAACCATGCCAGGCATTTAAGAACATGCTCATTTTACTCTAAAATTCCCTTATATTCAGGTAAAAAGTATTTGCTCAAGTCATACTTGGTGTTTTAAATTTAAAACAGCAATAGAGTCTGAAGTGCTGTGTCCTGTCTTAGGAAATAGGAAGGGCTGTGGCCCAGCTGTGCCCACGCGTGTTTTGGCGGGTGCTCCTCACGTGTGTAAGCCTGCAGAAGAGTCATACCGCCTTCTGTTGCTGTGAAGAGACGCCATAACCAAGGCAGCGTACAAAAGAGAGCACCTAACTGGGGGCTGGCTCACAGTCTCAGAGGGCTCATCTGTGTGTCAGGAGGAAGGCAGGCGGGCATGGCGCTGGGGCAGAGGCTGAGAGCTCACATCTTGTTCACAGATAGCTACAGAGAACAAACCTGGACCTAGTGTGGGTTGAGGTTTCAAAAGCCCATCCCAGTGGCACACCTCAGACCCAGTGACACCAGTGAAACCTCAAAGCTCATCCCATTGGCACACCTCTCCAGCAAGGCACACCTCCTGTGTTGGCTATTTTTGGTTGTCCACTGACTACATCTGGAATGAACTAAAATTCCAAAATGGCTGGCCATACCACTGAGGGAATTTTTGCTTAATTGGATCATTTGAAGTTATAACACTTATAATCCAGATCGTTTGAGTTGGGAATATCCACCTCTAATTAGACCACCCTTTCTGCTTGGAAGCATGTATAAAGGCATTTAAGAACATGCTAATTTTATCCTAAAATTATATTCTCTTATATTCAGGTAAAAAGTATTTGCACGAGTCATACTGGGTGTTTTAAATTTAAAACAGCAAATAAGTAATTTCTTACTTCGAGAAGAACCATGGCACAGTCCCAAACAAATCAAAGCCAAACCAAACTCCAGCTGTGTAAACAACACAGCGTCCATTGTCTGGGATCCACTCATGATCACTGGGCTCCTCCAAAGGCTTGGGTCACTTCTCCAGCTCTGCCCTCCGCAGCACACACAGCTTGTCTTCTAGTTCAGACAGGCTCCACTCTGCCACTGCTGATGTTCTTAGTGGTCACCCCATGGTACTGGCATCTGCAAAATACTGGGGTCTTCTGCACCTGGGCCACACCTTCACCGACAGTCTCTCCTGGCCTCTCACAGTGCCAAGCCTCAGCTGTTCTCCATGGTCCCTTTGTGCCTTCAAACCCAGTACCACCTGGGTGACTTAACACTACTACCAAGTTCAGCTGCCAGCATGAGGTGCAAATGTGACTATCTGGAACAGTCTCTGTGCTCTCAGGAAACACTCCCCACAAGATTTCACCTCAGTAATGCTGGTCTCTCTCTCTCTTTTTTTTTTTTTTGTCAGAGCTGAGAACCAAACCCAGAGCCTTGCACTTGCTAGGCAAGCGCTCTCCCACTGAGCTAAATCCCCAACCCCTGGTGTCTTCTTAATCACAGCTAATTTCTCAGTTCCAGCTAACCAGCATCAGTTGTCCCAGTAACTCAAAGGTTTCTTTTCAATAGTGCTGGTCTCTGGTTAATCGCGGCTGACTCTTCTGTCCCAGCTTACCAGATACCACAGATTCTTCATACAAAGGGCCCTGTGGAGCCTTTGCTTCCCTCTGCAGCTTCACAAGCCAGGCCTCCATTGTCTGCACTGCTCTCAACATTCTTATCTTCCAGGCTCCTACGGAACAGCACACTGAGCTCTCAACCCTCGGTGGCCTTTCTAGCCCAAAGTCACAAAGTCTTTCCACAGTCCTCCCCAAAACACCATGGTCAGTTCTGTCACAGCAATGCTCCACTATCCTGGTACCAACTTCTTTCTAAGTTAGGGTTACAGTTGCTGCAGTGAAACACCGTGACCTAGGCAACTTGGGGAGGAAAGGGTTTATCAGGGTTACACTTCCACATCACTGTTCATCATTGAAGGAAGTCAGGACAGGAACTCAAGCAGGGCTGCAACCTGGAGGCCGGAGCTGACACGGAGGCCTTGGAGGGGTGCTGCTTAATCACTTGCTTCCCATGGCTTGCTCAGCCTGCTTTCTTATAGAACCCAAGACCACCTGCCCAGTGGAGGCCCCACCCACAGTGGGCTGGGCCTCCCCCATCAATCACTAATTAAGAAAATGTCTGCTGTAGCCTCATCTTATTGAGACATTTTCTCAATTGAGACTTCTTCCTCTCCAGTGACTCTAGCTTCGGTCAAGTTGACGTAAAACTAGCCAGTACACCTCCCAATCTTTCCTAAACAATCTACCAGTTGAGGACCAAACATTCACGTATATGAGCCCGTGGAACCATTCTCCTTCAAACCACCACAGATGGCAGAGTGGTTAATAGTACACATTAAGGCACGAGGTTCCCACTTCCTGTAACCGAGGAAGTCACAGCCCTCTTTGTATAGCCCGTAAAGATGTGTCCTATTGTTGTGTGCATTGTGCATATCCTGACATAACCCATAGTCCTGCAAGAGCAGAACTGTGCATTGCTTCCCTCTGATAGGTAAGACAGGTAACAGCATGCCTGATTCCTTATGTGGTAAGCAACAGGGCTGGGATTGAACACTACCCCACACCCCACACCCACACACTCACCTCCAGGCATGGTTACCTCCTGGTTACATGAGCAACACTGAGTTCATTGAGTATGTGTGGATTAAAGAAAACAATGCTGTTGAAGTTTAGGAGGTGGCCTGTTCTGGATTAGGCTTCAAGAATCTTGCAGCTTTAAAATTCTATAATTTTTTTGTGTTGCAACAGTCCTTGAGGCCATAGGGTTTTTTTTTGTTTTTTTTTTTTTGTATTTTTGTTTGTTTATTTGTTTTTCTTTTTGGTTTTTCGAGATGGGGTTTCTCTGTGTAGTTTTGGTGCCTGTCCTGGATCACGCTCTGTAGCCCAGGCTGGCCTCGAACTTACAGAGATCCACCTGGCTCTGCTTCCTGAGTGCTTTGATTAAAAGCATACACCACCACCGCCCGCCTTGAGGCCATAGTTTTTAAGTACAGCCCATAAGAATGGTGATCATATAAACATCTGGACTCGAGTTACCTCAGGTCGGGCATATGGTGCAGGAAGCTCCTGATTCGCTCTGGGCTAATCTTTGTTTTCTCTCTGCTAGATTGTCGACCCATTTCAGATACTTGTGGCCGCGAACAAAGCCGTTCATCTGCACAAACTGGGAAAAATGAAGACAAGAACTCTGTCTACTGAAATTATCTTCAACCTCTCCCCAAATAATAACGTAATGTGGTGCCTGACTTTATTTCCCTTGGCCTTGTCATCACAGCGTGTGCCTCCTGCCCGGGGTAGTACAGGGGCCAGATTCCTCCAAGCCAAAACTGTTCGGTAGAGAGGTCAGGACAGACATGTAGTCCTTCTAATCATAGTACAGCTGGGGGGTCAGCTTCCTGGTCAGTCAGAGTCTACATGAGGCTGGTGTTCTCTGCCCTGCCCAGGTGTTAAATGGACCCCTTGAGCATTTTTGCTTAAGAATCTGGTAGAAACCCACATGGCCAAATGTGAGGTGTAGAAACGGTGTGTGTCACTCTCCCTGTGAATCCTAGAGATGGATGTGTGTCTTGTTTATAGTCAGTACCAGGAACTTCCTGTGACCAGGTAGAGCGGCTGACACCAGCTCACTCACTCACCCGGGCTATAGAAAGAGTCGTGGTTTGAAATCCTCATAGGGCCGGGCGGTGGCGGCGCACGCCTTTAATCCCAGCACTCGGGAGACAGAGGCAGGCAGATCTCTGTAAATTCGAGACCAGCCTGGTCTACAGAGTGAGTTCCAGGAAAGGCTCCAAAGCTCCACAGAGAAACCCTGTCTTGGGAAAAAAAAAAAAAAAAAAAGAAAAGAAAAGAACAGAAAAAGAAATCCTCATAGGAATGCTCTCCCAACCCCTGCGTGCGTGTGTGCGTGCGTGCGTGTGTGCGTGTGTGTATTTGTGTGTGTGTGTGTGTGTGTGTGTGTGTGTGTGTGTTTGGGTGTGTGGTATGCATATTCATGTGTGGGAGGATGGGTGCCTGAGTGCCACAGTGTGCTTGTGAAAGTCTAGAGGATGACCTCAAGTGTTGTTCCAGACAAGGTCTCTGTTTTTTGCCACTGTGTACACCTGGCCTTCAAGCTCCTTGGATTCTTCCGTCCCCGCCTCCTCTCCTCCTGTGCAGCACTGGGGTTACAGACAGTTGCTGTCGGGTCTGGCTTTACATGGGTGCTGGGGATTTGAACCAAGATCCTCACACTTGAGTGGCAAGTGCTTTACCCACTGAGCCATCACCCCAGGCCAGGAGTGCTTTTTGAATGAAAGTGTTGCGGTGATGGCATTCTGTGTGTGACATTCGAAAAAGATGTCTGAGCTCTGCTGAAGAAGTTTCAGTATTGCTACTGCTGTTAATAACAACCAGATGCTAGCATCATCACAGGGGGAACCGGGGAGCCTAGGGCAAGAATTAGACCACACTTGGTTGCAAAGTTTATAGAATGCGGTCAGCATGGCAGCAGAACTCTCCATTAATAGAATCATTGGAAATAATTGAAGACGTCATTCCTGCTCAAGACGCAGCTGTAGGGGCAGAAGAGACCAATGTGATCTTGAGAAGCAGATGAATGAGGCAAAGGTTAAGACGCCCGAAGATAAATGACAACAGGAATACAAACTGTGGTCAGGAAGGTCGGTTGGAGATAGAGGCGGGTGTTTCTGTGCAGATCCCAGCCGTCAGGGCTTGATCCGGAGGAGCCAAGTGCAGCTGTAAGGAGGGGCAGCAGCAGTGGCTGCTGGGAAGGGGTCGCTGAAGGGAGAGTACGCTGTGAGAAACAGGGAGGCTGACTGAGCAGGCCTGGAGCTATTCCAGACGGAAGACGCTGGCTCATTTCCCTTCGGTTTTTATCTTAGATTTCAGAGGCTTTGAAGAAATTCGGCACCTCAGAAAGTGACACTTCCGTTCTGATCGTTTACATTGAAGAGGAAGGAAAACAGATACACCGAGAACACCTGATATCTCAAGTGGAAGGCCAGCAGGTGCCTTTGGAAAGCCTTCCAGAAATAACAAAGCTTGCAGAAGTCAAAAAGGTGTGTAGTACGCATTTGTAAGAGTTCAGTAGATGAATTACCCTGACGCTGTGTGCTCGTCACTGTTAGGAATGATGAAGTAGTCTTTTAACTTCCTAGTTAGCATACAAGATAATGGTGTTCATTACATTTCATATTACTGCTTTTACTCATATCTGCCTTCTCTCTCATTCCCAATACCTTTTAAACTCTTAAGAAATAGTGTCGGGGGACTGGAGAGATGGCTCTGCAGTTAAGAGCACTTGCTGTTCTTCCAGAGGACCTGGGTCTGATTCCCAGCATGCTCCTAACTATCTGGAACTCCAGTTCCCGGGGATCCAATGCCCTTTTCTAGCCTTCATGGGAACTGCTCACATGTAGTACACATACACAGAGGCAAAACACCCTTACAAGTAAAATAAAGAGAGGTTTAGAAATATTAAAATAATTTTACAGACACTTGGAAAGTATGTGTAAATGAAAAGAACTGGGGGGGGGGGTTTAGCTCAGTGGTAGAGCGCTTGCCTAGAAAGCGCAAGGCCCTGGGTTTGGTCCTCAGCTCTGAAAAAAAAAAAATGAAAAGAACTGGGATGTACAAGTTTGTGTGGAATGTAATTCAGAATCGAGGCAATGAGAACTGGAAGAAAGGGGATCTCTTCCAATATTCAGTGACTGTATGAAGTTAATATCTAGATGTGGACTGCTAAAATTGATACAAATGTGATTTGTATGTTCAGGAAATTTGTTTTTTCATATTAATAACCACACTTAAAAAGGATATTTGACATGAGTGACAAATTACCACCTCCTTTGACCACTTTAAACATAATTGTGATTTCAAATCATTAATGCCATAATAACATGATAATGCCACATGTAAATGTGTCTATAATCACAGTGCAGGGACATGCCAGCACTCACAGATTGTCCTTCACTTTACAGATATATAAACTGTCATCACAAGAAGAGAGTATTGGGACGTTATTGGATGGTATCATTTGTAGAATGTCAACAAAGGATATTTTATAAGTTGCCTAAAGTATCAACAGAAAATCTCAAAGTTAATCACTAGCTGTTCTTTCCTGGTTATAAAATGAACATACTCATCGCTGGAAAAGGGAAAAAGAAACTGCTACCAGGCCTGCTTTCCTTTCACCTCTTAAAGGTCCCATGGGTCCCCCCCACCCATCCACCCCCACCCCCCACCCCACCCGTCACTGGGTTTGCCACCGTCTCCTTGTTTTCTGTTGTTTCAGTACCTTTTATTTTTACACAATTGGAATAAAAAGTTCAAGCACCCAGGGAAGGCTGTCATGTTCAAGGCTCTTCCTCAATAGTTCATCCATCCGTTTGCATCTCACCTGGTACTGCTGGCTTTTCCACATTGCCCTTCTAAGCATCTGGATCCTTAGTATTTTAAGTATAAGAATTCCTTTAACTCTAAACCTGGTATGGCGACTCACTCCTACAGCCCAGGTACTCGGGCAGCTGAGGCAAGAGAAAGCCACAAGTTTGAGGTCAGCCTGAGATACTCGACAAGTTCCAGATCAGCCTAAAGTATCATGTCAAATCCTATCTCAATAAATAAATAATAAATCAATTGCTTCTCATAGCAGCCTTGTTAGGTGGGTATGTCTTTGTGCACACTTTACACACGAGGCAACTAAAAGAGTGGATCAGTATTAACTAGCCCTCTCAGGGTCCTGTAACTAGTATAAAACCATATTTGATGGTTTCATTTTTTTTTCCTCACTTATTTTGTATTTTGATTGTATCAGTCAAGATAGGCCTGGTCAAGGTCAGCAAAGCTCTGTGAAGAGCCAGAGAGGTGCTGTGCTCCTCGAAGGCTGACTGGCTTCTGCTGCAGTTACTCAACACCACCTCTGCAGTCTGGAAGCAGCCACCGAGGACACATACATAGTGAGCGGCCTCTGTCTGGTAAACCTTGACTTGAACAAGTGGTGTGCGGCGCTGGAGCGGAGGCTGTGGTCTGTGGGCCTGGGGTTGGTTAGGCCGCAGTGACAACCAGTCCTAAAGCTCAGCAGCTCGGTCCAGCAGAAGCAGCTGTTTCTTCATGGCAGTGGGGGTCAGAGGAAAAACCCACAGCAGTGCTGGCGGAGCCTGTCTGCTGGAGGCCTCTCAGCCTGGCCTTTTAGGTTATCACAGCTGGGCAGGAGCGCCAGGAACGCCATAGTAGCTCAAAAGCACACACGTGGAAGTGTCGGACACTGGTCACCTCATTTCTTTTTTTTCATTTTAATGATTTTATTTCAAGTATATTTTAAAAATCACAAATGGGGTTTGTAATCCAAAGCTGAAACACGGATTCTTCAGACTCTGACAGGCAATCCCAGACCACACTTTCCAAACCCACATTCTTTGCTGTTCTTCAGATTTCTGAGGCCTAGCATTTAAACTGCTCTATTCTGGACGTACATGACTCGTACACACTTGTTGACTGAAGTTTTCTGAAAACTGTCCATCACATATAAAGAGTGCTTTCCATCCAGAGATTATCAGTGGAAAAACATTAAACATCTATCGAGAATTCAATTCTGTCAGAACCAGTGCTGTTCTCTAGAATTCAAGAGAACGTAGAATAAAGTAAATTATGCTCCCCAGACTCTGGTAATACAGGCCTCCATCCTACTTAATCATATGCAAGGTTGTCACTGAGATTTACTGGACAAAGAAAAGCCCAGGAGCACTCGGGGGAGGGGTGGGCTACTTTTGAGGGAAAGAGCTGCCTTGGTAACTTCTCTCAAATGTTTATTTGAAATAAAAAGCCGGTTGTGGTGGCGCACGCCGGTAGGATTTGCTGAAGGAGGCGGAGGCAGGAGGATCACAAGTTCGAGGCCAGCCTGATCACCTCATTTCATTCTGTGAGACCAAAATGAGCCATCTTAGAAATGCTTTCACCCCAAAACTAAGGCCTAAGGTTTCTCCTTTTGGGAATAGGCCATTAGTTACTGAAACCAGTCAATTCAGATTCCAGAAACTAGGAAGTGTAAAAGTACAGAGTCACAAGATAGTCACGAGGTAATGCCTGCTGGACTATGGAATGTCCTCTCCCTGGTTTCCAGGGTAACTGACCACAGAAATGCCCCCACCTGAGGGCAGCCAATGAGAAAGGGTGGCGGGCAACCACTCCCTTAGAAGTAATTTCTAGAAGTCCCTAGAAGTGAGCCAATCAGAATTGTACCCGTACTAGCACCCCTAAATGATGTAACCTTGTGATTTTTTCCCTTTAAAAGCTGAGCTTGGCCGGGCGGTGGTGGCGCACGCCTTTAATCCCAGCACTCGGGAGGCAGAGCCAGGCGGATCTCTGTGAGTTCGAGGCCAGCCTGGGCTACCAAGT